AGTATCAGTCTCCAAATACTCAAACCAGTTTGTTTAATGATTATTAATATACTATATTTTGTTCATATTTTGTTTATTAATCAACTAAATTTTTTTTTGTTGGCCACTAAGGCCAATGTTTCCTTTGCTCATTCGCGCTAAAATTCCTTCCATTTATCATTTTTGTATGTAGGTATGTACTTAGTTTTTAAATAAGTGGCAACTCTTTCAAAAAGTACTTATAGATTTAATTATATGCAAATATTGTAGGTAAAACTTTACTTAACTGCCCGATTTTGTAAAATTTAGTATATAAAATAAGTGGAAACTCTTTTCTAAACTAGTTTCTGCTACAAATTAAATTTGATGCTTGTTAAAGTTGCAAAGATTTTTCGAAATCATTGCGCATACTTCTTTTTTTTTTAATAGATCGCAGCCCTAAAAAAAAAAAAATTTTGGCCCATATTCTAGTTCGAAGAGTTTTAAAATACCTTTAATTGTATGCTTGTATTGTAAACTTTTTTTAACTTGTAGATTTTATTGAATTAAATTTTTACGATAAGTGGCAACTCTTTTTGGAAATAACCTCCTGCTAAAAATGTTTTTCAACAACCTTTGTTTGATATTATATAAAACTGCAGAAAATGTTCCCAAATTATTGAACATAAAATTTTTGTTTTGATCTAGATGGCAACGCTGTAAAAAATCGGGCTGCATTCTAGGTTGATGAGTATAAAATACATTTAATTGTATGCTAATACTGTAAAACTTGACTTAACTGGCCGATTTTTTTAACTAAAATTTTAGAATAGGCAACTTTTTTTTTTAAATTACTTCCTAAAATTCTTTCCAACAACTACATAGAATTCAAAATTTCCCCAAAATTTATTTTTTCAGTTAGGTGGCAACCCTCTATTAAAGCGTACTAAATTGTCTGTCGTTTGACACTAATATTTTAACATAAGAAATAAATTCCTTTAATTGTGTGCTAATAGTGTAAAGCTTTACTTAACGTGTCGATTTTATTAAATTTAATTTGTATAATAAATGGCAACTATCTTTTTGAAAATTATTTCCTACTAAAAATGTTTTTCAACAACTGCATAAAATTAAAGATTTTCTCTTAATTTATTTTTTTCAGTTAGGTGGCAACCCTCTGTTAAAGCGTTCTCAATTTCCCATCGTTTGACACCAACATTTTAACACCTTAATACTTTGCCTGAATGTGTAGCTTTTAGACCTTCCGAGGCGACATTTAGGGTGCATAAATTGTATATATATATATACTTTTTTAATATGTATGAGTTTACGCAACTGAGATCCCAATTGTGTAAAACTTGTTCATCGAGACCTTTCACATGACACCTGAATCATCGAAATCGCCGATAATTTGCCTTACTACCTGTTGTAGATGAAATAAATGCGCCGCTGAGTCACCCTGTGCTAGTAGCGCCTTTGGGTATGCAACGTATTTGGTCACTTCCGGCTTCCGGAAAATTGTCCGGCGGCCGCCTGCTCATGTATGTTCGCCTGGTATTTTGTGAAATCACAGTCGGCCGCGTGCGAATTGCTCATTGACAATGGGGGAGGTTACAATGCCCGGATTTTTTTATTTATTTTGCGCTCACTTCGAAAGGCAAACAACTTTCGCCATTGTGCATAGATTTTAATAAAAGAGGGCGCATATGAAAGAATATAGTTCAAGGTTGTTACGCTTTGTATTTCAGAGCTGTTTAGAGACAAGCTTGCTGCAAAATTTCAACGAAGAATGAATCAATCAATCAATTAAAAATAAAACACTTTGTTTTTTGATTAATTTTTTTGTGTGGTTATTTTTATTTTTTTGTTGTTGAAATAAATGAACTTACAATCTAATTTGAAAATCGAATAAATACAGAATACTAAATGTATTGTATTTTAACAAAGTTATATTTAAATGTTACATTTTTAATATATTTTGTTGTATTAAAGTTAAATTTTACGCTCATCTGTATGTATGTGTTTATTTATATAACTCAATATATATTTATTTATCTTTATGTATGTTTGTGTAGATACATATTTTTACTAAGTAAGTATGTATGTATGCATGTTTGTCTTATAACATAACTACTAAGTAAGCAACTCGGAAAACTTAAGTTGAACTTCATTTTCTAATTTTACATGAATTCCTCAAAAGTGGCAAAACACTTTTTGTACTCCTCCATCGACTTGTTGGCTAACTACAACGTTAAGTTCATATTTTTTCAAGTACCTACAACGATATTGTATATAATTTTATTAATTAGTTTAACATACGTAAATAGATGAATATATTTTTAAAGGTTATGTTTACATGTTTTTAAATTTTTAGTCAATATTTTCTTTAATTTACTTTTTAATTGAATATTTATAGTGTATGTATGTGTTTGTATGTATACATTATGCTTCTGAAAAACATATTTACAGAGTTTTACACTAGTTTTCTATTTAATATTTTTTATATGATTTTTGTTTTTTATATGTATTTTTTGTGTAGTAGTCAAAAAGCATCTTTATTACAATACAACAACAAACAATATTAATTAATAATAATAATAAAAATGACATACAATTTAGTATGCATGTACATATGTATAATAGCGGGGCCATTAAAAATATCAAAATGTAAATTTTGTATGTGGCAACCGTTTATTTTGTTATAGATACAAAATAAAGACAGCCAGATATTTAATATTTTTTTAATTTTTAGTCGTTTGAATAATTAAATTTTTTTTTAAATCGCAGGAAGTCTAAAAAAGTTTTGACTTGAAATCCGATTAATTTGACATAAGTATTATTCATACATATAAGTTCATAAACTTGCCGAGTTATGGCTGAGCAAAATACAAATTTTGTCGAATTTTGGCGATTTAAAAAAAAAGACTAAAAATTTAAATATTTTCAAATCCTAGGTGGGAACCCATTTTTTTTTTTTTGATTTTAGTGGATGTCTTTAATTTGTACGTAGAACAAAATAAAGGGGTGCCCAGGATTTTGACTTTTTAAGGACCACCAAAATGTATGCATAAATTACATATGTATGTATTACATATTTATGTTTGTATATAATATTTTATTTTTGCGTACGTATTTACAAGTTTTAAAAAAGTATAATATAAAAAAATATTCTGTTTGGTTATAAAGTGAGCCGTTATAAAAAAAGGAACTAATGCCGGACTTTACAAATCTTTGTTTTTTTTGCATTCAAGTTTATTTCTACACTGCCAAGGTTTTGTGAATAAAAAAAAATGCTTTGACAATAAAATGTGCGCCACTGGAAACGTTAGCTTTGGACTGTTTAAAGATTTCATGAAAAAAAAATTCGACTCATTCACTTAAGCTCAAAAAAGCAGGAAAACTGGAAACTTGAAACTTGAAAAACAAAATTTATAGAAATTTTAAATTTTAGTTCGGGCAAAATTTCATGGCTTTCAAGGCTTTTTCGAGTATAGGCAAATATCTCTACAAACAAGAAAAAAATTACCCCAGAACCTAAAGTATTTTTGCAATTACGAAAAATTACCAACCTATTTTCGGCAAAAACAAAGTAATTATTTTTATCGAAATTGCCTTGCAAAAATTCTTTAGATTTAGGGGTGTACGGCGAAATTTTTTTCCGGTACGGTCAAATGTAAATATAAGGACCAAAAGTACCAGGAGATTTATTGAATTCTTTTGACAGCCTTTCTAAATTATTCTATTTATTTTATTTCATTTTTTATTTTATTTTTATTTAATAAAATTTTTTATATTCTTTTTATTATATTTAATTTGTTATTTTCTTTTATTTTATTTGCTATTTTCTTTTTATTTATGTAAATTAATTTCATTTTCATCCTGTTTTTTTATTTATTTTGAATGTTTGTATTGTAGTGCATAGATTACGGATGGCAACACTTCAGTTGCGTTGCCAATGGCTGAATTGGTATTACAGAAGGTAACTGGAAACTGAAAGCCGGCAACTGCATTTTTGTGGGTCCGTAAATTTAAATAGAGAAAATGTATTTATTTTTAACTGACCTTTAAAAAGAAGGTTATCAATTTTTCGGAATATTTTTTTCTTATCTATTGGGGTATTCACAACTGTGTCGTAAGTGTCGTATTGTTGTATGTCGTAAACTTTAAACGCCTAAAAAATATATTAAGGGGGTTCGCAAAGTACCATCAAATCCATATTTTGAATTTTCGCAGTGTTAAAAAATAGTTGGTTGTGGTTTCAAGTTCTCTAAACATTTATTGATGCTTTTAAAGTTTGCGACATACAACAATACGACACTTACGACACCGTTGTGAATCCTCCATATGTTACCGTATAACTTTGGACTACATTGACCGATTTGTATAATTCTTTTTTTTTTTTTTAAGGAAAGGTGGTACCTCAGAGGTGGTCTCATACTAATTTGGTTTAGATCCGATACTCTTAATTTTTATATGAGAATTGAAGCCGGTTTTGTTTTTTGCTTAAAAATTACTTGTTTTTTCGACTCTTTCTGCAGCTTATTTCAATTCAAGCCTTGGTTGCTATTTAAAATATGTTGCGTTGCTATCCATAATCGACTTATTAATTTAGTATTTTATTTTATATTTTGTTTTCATAATTAATTTTTTGAATTTATTTAAAATTTTTATTTGATTTACATATTTTCATTTTATTCTATTTTATTTTTAAATTAAATTTTTGTTTTTGTTTGTTGATTTTTTTTTATTCAAATGCAATGCAATTTGAAGATATTAAGAAACTTTTTGAAAAAAATATCGATATTTAAAAAACGGTGACCCTTCTATAAGGGTATTTTTTTATCTGGGAGGTCACGTCCTAACCTACCTCCTCCTTAAGTTAGTCGTGGCACTTATTGGGCACCCTGTTTATTATATTGTTTTTTTTTTATTAATCTTTACTTAATTTATTATTTTAATTTTAAGTTTTACTTCATTTTTATTTAATTTCATTTTCTTTTAAATTCATTTTTATATTTATATATCTTTTTATTTATTGACTTTATTATTTCTTATTTTATCTTATTTTAATTTTATTTTCCATAATTACATTTAATATTATTTTAGTCATGAATTTTGTGTTAAGGCAGCGCTTTGGTTACGTATTCCAATGGAAGCAACGCACTAAAAAATTTTAAGGCATTTAGTTTCGATTTTTAAGCGAAAAAATTCTCTAAACGACTTAAATGGTAAGCACTATATTATTTTTAAATGTCATATTTTCCTTCTCTTTACATGCTCATACATACCTACATGGTTAGATATTTGTTATTGAAACTTTAGTACTTTTTTTTTTGTTTTGTTAATTTCTGGCACATTATTTTGCGTCTAAAGACTTGACTAACAACTATTTATTAGTTTCGTAGTTAATGCTTATTTTCTCAGTTAAAATAAAGTACATTTTCGTTTTGTTGTAGTAAAACGAAGAAAGGCAACTTTAACAACCATCTTAAGGCAACAATTTTCTTTAACAATAAATGCAAAATTTGCTTTCGAAATTCAAACCAGAATTTAAAATAGAAGCTATTTTTAGGAAAACTTGTAAACATATGGATACAAATTAAAATAGGGCGTCCAAAAGACATCAGAAAGACAAAAGACTGGGCCTTAATTCCGCCGTTTTCCCATAACTCTCAGATTTAAGAGTATTTTTAGGTGCATTAAAGCTGCCTTATCCCTCAAATTTTAATATATATATATATTTTTTTTAACTACGCGTCATCTCTACCAGAACAAAAAGAAAAAAAAATAACGAAACACAGTTTAAAATACAGTCAAACCCAAAAATGTACAACAAAACAAATTAAAATGCTATTGGAAAATTTACAAAGTGTTTTTAACATAAACCGCTACATACTATAAACACTAATACTACTATGAACTTAACTGAAGCAATAAGAAGAATCCGTGTTTTTTGTTTACCTACGATCAACTTAAATATCGCTTAGCACTAAATCGTAAAACTAAAATCATCACTTAAAAATTAAACTGTCACGCGTTTCGTCGCGGCTTTTCAAGTGCGCTTCGCAAGCGCTACTCCCTTTTGCAGCCCAACTTCCGCGTCTTTTTGCTTGGCATATTTCGCTTTTGCTACGCGCTTTTACACTCTCGATATCTCTCACGCTTTTTCCTCCGCCCCCATTACTGCAGTCGTCCGAGTGTCTTCTTCACGCGCAGTGCCGTCAGCCGCACTGTCGGATTCGGATGCCAGCACTCTTGCATGATTTTGGACATTGTCGCCAGCACATCATCGTCCTGCCAACGCGACGGCACCGGCGGCCTGAAACCCTTTAGGCACACCACATCGTACATGTCTTCGAATGTGGGATCGGCAGGCACCACATCGTGATAGGGCAATGCATAATCCTCGCATGTGGTCGCATTCGAGCCCGGCACTTGCGTATAGCAACGGCGGCACAATTCCCACAACACCAGCCCCACTGAATACATATCGGCACGCTTGAACTCCTCGAACTGCTGTTGATTCAATGTCTGATTAAGCATTTCCGGTGCCATGTAGCGTGGCGTGCTGACGCGTGAATTTTGTGCGATTTGTATCTCATCCATTTCCGAGGTGTATTTGACGGCCAAACCAAAATCGGCAATGGCACATTGGCCATTCCGTTTGACGAGTATATTATTGCTCTTGATGTCGCGATGTGCAATGGCCGGTTTGCCGGGTGTGCCTACGATCTCGTCGTGCAAGTGTGCCAAGCCCGAAGCGAGCGAATAGGCCATGATTTGCAGCTTTTGCGGTGTAATCACCGAAGTGGCGAGATAATCATGGAGGCTGCCATTCTCGTGGTAGTCGGTGATGAGCATCATTTGTGTGTGACTACCCATGTGTTTGATGTCCGCAGCTATGAAGCCGAGTATGTTTTCGTGACGGATGAGCACAGTCTGATAGATTTCGGTTTCACGGAACCACGACGACTCCTCGGTCATGAAGAAAATCTTGACGGCGACGCGCTCATCACGCCATTTGGCTAGAAATACTTCGCCGTAACGTCCTTTGCCAACGGATTGCACTATTTGTATTTGCTTAGCGATGGTGCGTTGCACCAATAGCGGCAAGCCTGAACCCGAACCGGTGCTTTGTCCGACCAATTGCGATAATGGTGAAATTTGACTGTTGCACATGGAGCTGATGAGACGTGGCTGTTTGCCTTGCTTCTCGCGGCGTCTATACATTACGCAGAATATCAGCAACACCACAACGAATATCGTCAGGCAGACGGTTAGGGAGGTCAACATGAGCAGGTAGTGTATGGATTGTGAGCTCACTGGCAATTCGGGCGGGGTGGTGGTGCTCTTCGGTGTGTACTCGGGGTGGATGTTACGATTACAGAAATCGGCTGAATCACAACAGACGATATTCTTGCCATGCAGGTGGGGTACGGTGGCAACTTTGCACTGTAAAAAAAGAAATAACGGAGGTTAATTGTTGAACTTTGCAAATGAAAATGCGAAAAGAGCAAAAGCGAGCGTTAACTCTGTACTCACCATTAGGAGTCCGCCATTCTCTTCTGGCGGCATACAACCATATGTTCGATCCTCTTCGAATGTGCCTGTAGTTTCATCGTATACCTCTTCGACTGCGCTGAAGCAGGAACCACCAGGGCGGGTTTCACAAGTACCATTGATACTGTTATCGGGGCAGCTGCCTTCGCAATAGCAACTCAACGTGCGGGCTGGAAGTATAGCAGAAGATAAAAAATGTAAATTAGTTAAGAAAGTAAATGAGGCAAAGAAACAAATATGGATACTTAAATGGCTTAGGAAATAACTTAGTCTATTTCACTTGTAAATTTGAGCTCTAAAACTTTGTAATAAAAATAATTAAGAAATTACCTCTTTCTGGTTTTCTATGGTATGAAATCTTAAGGAGATGCATAAAAATTAAACTAATGCCGGATTTCCACTAGGCATTGAATGGCACAAATTGTAATGACGAAAGTTGGGAATTAAAGAATACCAGTACCAGTATGCCGAATTTCCACGAGGCATTGAAATGACAAAAATTGGAGCCATTTAAAATGCCATGTGGAAATGAATTTAATGACTATTTTTTTAACATAATGACAGGCATGTTTTTTAATGCCTAACTTTGCCGTTAAAATTTTTGTCATTTAATGCCCAGTGGAAATTCAGCATAACGGTGATGGTTTTTTTAATTTTATATATATTTTTTTATGTGACTCGATACAGGACTTAGTTGAAGCGCAACATGGATCTTGCATTACCGCAGAATCGCTAGCGAAGAAAAGAAGCAAGAAGTTTTTTTTGCGCCACTATACCTATTGGACGCAGTGTTGCCAGAACTTTTTGGGCCGACCGGCTATATTGGCAAAAAAAGCGGCTCAAAACGGCTAAAATGTTTCAACTAAAATTCACATGTTTTATTTAAAGAATTCGCAAGTAGAAGGACTTGCAAAATCATTATTTTTTTTTTTTAGTTAATAAAGGTATACGTAGCAAAGCTTTACACCACTCGTTAAATAAATCACAAAAACAGAGACTGGTAAATTCATTGCAAATTATTTTTGTTTGTAACAAAAGAAACTGTTGTATTACTTAAGTATGAAAAAAAGAGATCAATTACAAACTTATGGCGTTTTCTTTTTTATTAAAAAATTTTGCCTTACATTGTAACATTCGCACTAGGTTACTTTTCGTCCTGAAAAATGGCTATATTAGTATAAAGTATTTTGCTTAGTCGGAGTGCAATATTTTGTGAAATGAACAAGTGAAGCTGTGAAAGGGCTGAAGAAAACAGGCCAACATTATTTCGAAAAGAGAAAACGCCTTCAGCCTTATCATGAGTTTCATTTTCCCCGAACCGGTTCACTTTTCACTTTTGGTTTCCATTTTTTAACTATGGGCGGATGACAAATTTTCGGGTGAATTGAATTATTCGTACTCTTTTATTCTCATTCGTTATTTTCTTAATGTTGCAAATAAAACTTCGCATTTAAATTTAAGCCATTCATAACAAAAATTGTATAAAGTCCCCTCTACGTCCTTCTTTGGAAAAAAACACAGTGACCCAAATATAAAATGGGACGCGAGATATTAGCAAGTATTGGCTATTTTTATTTAGTTTATTTAGTGTTTATTATTTTTTTATGCAAATATAGCTGATTACTCAACAAACACCATATATGTAAGTATCAATTTCAGACTTTGTGCAAAAATTTCACCAACTAACAACTTTTAATCAGCATATCTACAAAATGGTATATATGCAGTTTTGTAGTCCATAAAAATTTAGTATAATATGGTGAAAATTTTAAGTAGCTCGGACTTGCAGTTGATTTTTGTAATTTTTTTTTATAAAGGTGTTACGAATTTTTTCCATAAAAAGTATGTTCTAAAATTTGTTATATGGAGAAAAATGCGGAACATCGTGAACAAAAAATTTTCAATAATCAACGGTAAGTGCCAGCTACCTTAAATTTGTACTTTAAATTAAAAAAGTGCAGAATTTTTTATTTATTTTTTAATAAAATACGAAATTTGGATTTAAATGGTAGTTTGTGGTTTGTAAGTAATCAGCTATACTTTCATAAAAAAATAATAAGCTGAAATGTCGCGTCCCAGTTTATATTTGGGTCACTGTACTATATTCAAATAAAATAAAAGTCTTTGAAATCGGCCCAGTATTTTAAGACTTTTCGTATTAGAGAAAATTCTTTCAATGTTATATACTTAACACAGTAATAAATAAAAATTTTCTCCGATATAAGGCTAGCAGTTTCTAAAAGATTTTAGGTCGCCAAATATGTTAACATGGAAACTTATATGTGCATATATTTAAATTTTAATAAAATACGGCAAATAACGAAATCGGCTTAAAACGGCTAGCAAATCGGCTGTCGGCTAAATCGAATTTTCTCCGGCTGTTTGCTTTCGCAACCGGCTAAATCTAGCCGGAAAACGGCTAAAATGGCAACACTGATTGGACGTATGTATTCGAGGCATGTGCCTAGTGAGCTCGTAAACGAGCCTAAACTTAGGAATTATAGAGACTTGACTCGGTTAAAAGTCTCGATTAGTTTAAGACATCTTTCCTAGGTAGTTTTTTTTTTGTGTTGTGGTGTTAAGTACATTTGAGGACGGAAGAGAAGAGAGGAAACCCTACCCAAAACTTTGGAATGGCGATACTGGTGGCACGTTTGGCGAAGAAGAACCCAGAGCCAGTGTATAGGTACAAAGCTCACGTCCCCACTCGACCAAACGAACCTAAGAATGGACGGAATACCGGGTGTGGTTTTCAATACTGATGGCGTATAATAGGTACCAGCTGTTAAGGAAGATTTTGTCTGATGAATATACATAAGCCCAAAGATTGGAACGTCGATGTACTTTTCTCAATCCAGAAAAAAGGAGATCCTTCTGTGTGCGCCAACTATCGGGGAATAAGCAATCTGGGCGGACCCTGAGGCTGAGTGGTTTGAGGCGCGTACCAGCACTCCGCAGAACCTGAGTTCGATCTTTGGTTCGGGCAATATCTAATTAGGAAAAGGCTTTTTCTAACAGCACACCACAAATTGCAGGATGCTCAAAAACAGCCCATCGCGGCGTGCCGTGAACGAAGTTTCACAGGCGACAGATGTTAGTCCCGCCTAGCTGCTCCGGACTAAGTTAGAAAGTACGAACCGAAGTGTCTGAACTGCAATCTAGCAAAAGCTGGACAGTCTAAGAGGAAGCATTGAGATGATTCCATCTTGTCGTCCTCCATGCAGCTGATACAAAAGGGGTCTGGTGTGATATTTAATCTCATTGCGCGAACACCGATAGGATAGGACAATGGCTTATCAGTACACCCACCAGAATCGAGAGATCCGGCTTCGCGAGCCTAGGGAAATCCCTAAACCATCTCCAATCCACTAAAGGCCAAAATGATCTCGCACTGGCACATGCACTGGTTTTCTTCTAGCATTCGCGGAGTTGTCCCGAAGCCAATTTTTTTTTTCAAGAGAAATCGGCAAGTAGTCAAGGGTACTCCTAATCACTCTTTTCTTGGAGATATTACATCGAGAGTGCCGCCTCTGGCCAGTTCATCAGCCATCCAGTTAGGCCTGGTAGGCAACCAAGTCTGACAAGGTAATTAATTCTCGTATTCAGACGCGACCGAAAGTGAATTAAGGTTCTCTCCAACAAGCTTATCATGGATGATGAGGCTCCAATGAGAAGATCTTTGGATTCGGCACCAATGGCTGGACAACGAAAGCCCATGAACACAATGAAAGGAACAAGTGCAGCAGGACGGACCTATCTGAACGCGATGGGAACAACTGGTGCAGCTTCGGAAACTAGAGAGGAAATTGGCGAAGTTTTTCAATCCCAAAAGGAAAAGCGGTTGTGGTGCCACATAAGAAGAAGACAAAGAAGAAGAAGAATCTATCAAGTAAAACAGAAAAAAGGGGTTTTCTGACAAAATTAGATTTTTTAACACAGAAATAGCAAATTCGTGCACATTCTTGTAAGAATTATGTATATAAAAAAATATACTCCAAAACAATTTAGGTAGGTACTCTATTGCCCATACATAGTAAATTCCTTTAGTAACTCCATAAAAAGCTCAAACGATAAAGCGCTGTCCACTCGCAACAAAGAAGCTATCAAAAAGTGTGTCGGACGTGCGCATACGACAAACGCATTTGCAGACTCACGTATACCACATGTGACATGGACAGATCGACGGACCAGACGAACGGCCAGGAAGGAGCACCGACAGACAGCAAATGTGGTGACAATCTCATCAATGTATTTCAGTGGCGGCTCATGAACGCTCGCCAACAACCATGGCGCCAAAGTTGGCTGCAATATTGCTGCTAGTTGTTGGTTATTTTGATCGTGGCCAGTCATCAACGAATACGCCTGCAGGCACTGGTCGATCCGTTGTATGAGGAACTCTGAATACATTTGTATGTATGTATGTATGTATGTAAGTGTGCGTGCCGGCGCATAAAAACGCTCGTGCACATGCAAGATGGACTATGAGCGGACAACTGCTTCCTCTCCTTTACTGCTTTTCTTTCCTCTTGATATACATATGTACGTGCAGCTCCGTGTTCTTTATATTTTTTTTTTTGTACATTTGTTTTCCGATCACTGTTGTTTTTCTTTTTATTATATTTTTTCTTGATTTCAATTTATGCATTCCAAACGCAAAATGCAGAAGACATTTGAAATATTTTGTTTGTGTTTATTTGTTGTTTGTTTAGTTGTTGTTGCATGATTGCACATGTTTTTTTTTTGGTTTTCTTTTCTGTGTTGATTGCAGACACTTTTGGAATTTATAAAAGCTGGAATGCATGCATGTACATACATTAGGGTGGTCCAAAAAAAGTTAAAAACGTTAAGCTCTCAACGCCTAGGATTTTTCTAAATGCAAAAAAAGAATACCTGTGTTTTTTTTTAAGAAAATATATTTATTTTATTTGGAGTAGCACACTTTTCCGTAGAAATGCCATAGGATTCTTTAAAATCAATATTTTTTCACCGGAAAACTTTGTTTCTCGTTAGGAGACTTCCAATAACAATACCCAATTATTTATTTAACCATTCTTAATATTAAATAAGTCCCCCAAAAAACAAAAAAAAAGTGGGGGCCCCATTAAAAATAGTTAGTTTTAAAAAATGGTAAAATTAAAGAGTAAAAGATCGAAAAATATTGATTTTCAAGAATTGTATACCATTTCTACGAAAAAGTGTTTTAGAGTACTTTGAGGCAGTTCTAAATATACAATATTTTTTTTAAACAAAAAAACACAAGTATTCTTTTTTCAATTTAGAAAAATCCTAGGGCATGAGAGCCTAAAATTTTAAACTTTTTTTGACCATCCTAATGCGCATATGTATGTTTGTATGTGAACTATTTGAGAGTCTTTCCTATCATCTTGTGTCTTTTATTGACTTGTGTAATTGTTGTTATTAATAAAATTCATGTTTTTATTGCCATTTATAAGCGCCATCGGCCAGGCAACTTGCGCCATGCATGTGTGTGTATGTTTGTATGTATGCAGTTATAAAAGTAAAATGCATTTTTGTCTTGGAAGTTTGAAAGGAATCTCCATTTCCTCAATAGCTTTGGGAAACGGAGGTGCGGAATGAGTTTATACGTTTTAAAGCTTTTGAAGTTTTCTCCTCAGGTTTTAGAACGTCTGGAAAAAAATTTGTAAGTGTAAGGAAAATATTTGACTTAGCAATCAGACGATTTACAAAGCAATTCTATTAAAACAAAATCTAAAAATTTAAAGAAGAGCATATTAAAACAAGACAAAAAAATAAAATAAGATCATAAAAACTACATGATATAAAAAAAAAAAATCTTTATATAACAATAAAATCTAAAAATTAAAAGAAAATTAATTTAGCAAAAGAAAAAAATGAATCAAACAGAAGAAAATAGTGCTTAAAAATTAAATGCATGCATTTTTAAAACAAACTATAAAAATTTAAAAAAGTTAAACTAACAAAAAACAAAACAAGTAAGAAAGTCTAAGTTCGGGCGGAGTCGAACATTAAATACCCGGCGCAAGTATTAAGTATATGATTTTCACCTTTCCGAAAGCTACCGCTACATGGATACACCCCGGTATCAATTTTGAGTAAATTAGCGTCCTTAAATTTCGAAATATTGAAGTTTCAAGCATTTCCGAAATTTATCGTTATATGAAAACCGGCCTCAATTTTAGTCTGATTTCAATAATTTTCAACGTTTTGCTTTTATGTGGCAAGCACAATAACCATACCGAGTTTGGTATAAATTGGTAGAACGGTTCCCGAGATACATATATGTGATCATAAGTGGGCGGTGCCACGCCCATTTGCCAAAATTTCATCATAAACGTATTTCTCGGTAAAGAATTGTTGCAAGCATCAATTTTGAATAAATTAGCTTTAATATTTACTGATTTATCGAAGATTTCGTATTTCTTCAAATTACCGTTATATGGGATGTGGGCGTGGTTATTGTCCGATTTTAAAAATTTTCGGCCATTTGGTATGCTGTACCAAGACCAACAACTGTGCCAAGTTTGGGAGAAATTGGTGCAGCGGTAACCAAGATACCATAACCATAAGTGGGCGTGGCTACGCCCATTTTCCAAAAATTTATAATATTCTTACCTTTCGTCTAAAAATTATTGTAAATATCAATTTTGAGTAAATAATCTTCAGTAGTTACTAAAATATCGCAGTTTTCGTATTTCTTCAAATTACCGTTATATAGGATGTGGGCGTGGTTATTGTCCGATTTTGTCCATTTTCAACACCATCCGTCCTACGCCCGAAAGAAGTGCACGTACAAAGTTTCGCTAAGATATCTCAAGTTTTACTCCGGTTATCGTGTGCACAGACGGGCGGGCGGACGGACAGACTGTCACGGCTTAATCGATTTCTCTTTTCATTCTGATCATTTATGTATACATTTGTCTATATCTATCTCGATTCGTTTTGCCTGTTACAAACAAACGTTATGTGAACAAAGTTATAATACCCTTGTGCACAAGTGCGCTCGGGTATAAAAATAAAAATTAGTAAAAAATAAATAAATTAAGATCGTAAAGATTAAATGAAATAAGAAAAAAAATTCTTTTTAAAACAAAATAATCTATAACCAAAAAGAAAATTAAATTGAAAAAATATAAACTAATTATCCAGCTACAAAATAGAAAAAAATAAAGTACGTATCCACAAAAAAATTAGGAAATAAAAAAACAAAAAAAAAATCGTCTTAAAACAATAAAAGCTTAAAAAACTGTTTTTCTTTGATGTAACGAAATAATTAAAAGAAAATTAAAATAAAAGAGAAATATATAAAAAAAAATCGTTATCCGTGGTTTCGAACCCCCTCTCGATTGGAATACCAGTGCTTTGCTTACTCGGCCATTGCGCCTGTTGGAGCGACGCGAGCTAAATGATATACATACATATGTATGTACAAGTGCTTTCTCCCAAAATAGCCTTTCACCACGAGTGGTGAATGAGAGAGCTTACTTCTAAGACTTTTGTACTAGAATAACAAAGGTCTTTCGAACTATCTTGCCATCTGTCTTTCATTTGTCTTACGAAAGACTTTTTACTATCTCGTCGTGTAAATTGGCTCTCATTCAAGTAATATTTAAGTATTTTTACACAGGATAGCTTTCCGTGTAGGCGACTTTCGTCCGCACTCAAAAAGACTCTCAACAGTTGAACTCCAGCTACCCTCTCCGCAGTATTTTTACGCAGGATATGATACTGCCACCTGGACATAATGCACAGCATTTCCCGAAGTCCCAGATAGCAAGGTCAAGAAGGCTGAAAACGCAGATGAAAAAATTTCTATGCAACGGAATCTGGAACACCATACATGAGTAGCTTGCTGGCTACAGAATTTCTTTTGCGCGTTTTTAGGCTTGCAAGACTACTACTAGTCCTGGCACTGAAAAAAGGGCACTGAGTTTGTAATTTTAGGCCAAGTGTCTGAAGCAGATACATATTTCAATTAGATCTATGTAATGCTGGAGTCTGGCTACACTGCATTTAGGAATATTTAAGTTACAGAAATTCATTCAGCTGCATCTAAATTCTTTACTAGACTGTTAAAAAAATCAACCAAAAATTGGTTAATATTACCAAATTAAAATTTGAAAAAACAATTAACGCGACTTTTGTTTAATTTTAACAGTGTCTTGGTTGATATTTTTTAACAATGATTTTGTAATATTTACCACATTTTTATTTACATTAAACCAATCTTTGGATGCCGATTGTTTCCTTTGAATACGCTTATGTTCTGCACTTCGCAGATGCTTTTTCATAATTCGGAGATACAAATAACAACAAACCCCTTGCACGTTCAGCTATAGCCAAACATACGAATTTGTTTTCAAATGTTCAACTTGAATCACATTTCTTAAAATCGGTTTATTTGCCATGAAACAAGTAATTTTTAGCAAAAAAAAGACTTAAAAATATATATATATATATAAATTTCATGATCCAATAATCGAATCTAAACCAAATTAGTATGGGACCACCTCCGAGACACTACCTTTCCGTTGCAATTTAATGAATTAATGAAATCGGTTGACGTGGTCCAAAGTTATTCCGACGAACTGATAACCTCCTCCTTTTTTGGAAGTCGGTTAAAAAGCAAACAATCACTTGGCTGAAAACCCCATTGTACTTTTGGCTCAGTGTAAGGCTCTGCTATGACAGAGCAGATTTTTATTTAATTGTAAATAATTAGAAACTTTAGCAAGTGATTGAATTCTGGGAAAAATATTTATTGTTTGCTTCAATGTCTCTTAATCGCTTCCATTTAATTACCTTTCTACATTTCTAGTAATACAGCTAATTGTCGAATCTGAATTCGCTTTCTAAACAACTAATGAAACTGGTTCCAGTCAAGTTCAAGGAAAAAAAGGAACTTATTCAAGTGAAACCCATTTAAGTGTAATAAGTAACTGGTACTTATTGCACTTGCACCTTTTCCACTAGTAAATCGATGAAATTAGTGCCGATAATACAGCGAAAAATGCCGCATTCCAAGAGCGCATATTTGTGCATGCAATACACTACATACATACATACTTAGCATAGTTGTGGAGACATACACAATCATGGTATGCAGTACATAGAAACGAGGCAAAAAAAAACACACACACAGGCATTACAAAAAGTATGGATACAACGCACTGAGTGCCACAGAAATGGCTATATACAGCTTCCAATGCATATTTTTGTTTAGTTGCGTGCTTGGGTGGATTTTAACCCCAATGCACGGAATGGATATGTATTTATATGTATGTATGTATGTATGTAGAATGCAGCAGCAATGCACAAAGTGCCATAAAACGTCAGCAACCATTTTAAAATATTTTTATTTTATTTTCTAATTTTTCAAGCTTGTAGATACATATAAGTATGTAAGTATGTAAATATGTTAGCTGGTATTTCAAATCCTATTAAATATCTGCTATTAAATTGCAATTAAATCATTATCCGAGTTCCATCGAAATAGCTGACATGCCAAATGAGCGACAGAGGGTCGAGTACATAGTACTACAATCGTCAGCTGGATCGAGGAGCAAATGCACACATATGTACATACAATACTTTGCAAGAGCATAGAGCTGACTGACAACTCCGACTGTGGCTTGATTGTGGCGGTGTTGTGGAAGCTGTGCGTGATTGGAGAGTGACAATAAAGTAGTATTTACAAGGCAAATTGAATATGAAAAAAATGTATAAATGAAAAAAAAATAAGTTTTTTCTCTTTGCTTTGCTAATCGTCGCACTGTGACAACAAGCAAAAAATATACTATAGGGGTATTCACGATCCGCCGGGACATACTGTCTAGCATGGTGCATAGATAGCATTATTGGCTAATTTTGTTGTTTTTTGGAACACATGAAACAACAACAATCATGCTATTTATGCTATCTATGCACCATGCTAGACAGTATGCACCGGCTCGTGAATACCCCTTATGTAATTGTTGCAAAAACAGTCATCAAGGCTCATTTACGGGTACGTTGCTAACATCGATTGCTTTGCTATTTGTACGCTTGATCATCGACCACAGTTGGCGTTAAAGCTGCTGTTGCTGTTGCTGCTGCCTGTCGCTGGTGGCATTGACGCTGGCACACGTATCAGCGTCAGCATCCGGCAATTAATTTTGCAGTGATTAAAAAATTATTGTGTGCACAAAAACAGTAGCACAAATATTTATGTATAAGTATACATATGTATGTATATGCATATGCATTAGTGTATGTTTGCGCGTGCATTATGTGGATTTTTATGCACATTTGTGTAAATCTAAAATTTCAAAAATTTTGATAACATAAATTTTTTCTCTTGAATATTTTAGTTACTGGCGCCACGCATTGTATGAATTTGAGGTTATGGATTTCGATTACTATTTATTGTTTTTCGAATCTTAACAAAGCTGGCAGCAGCGCAACAAATCGTATGGATTTGCAATTTATTAAAAGATTTGATAAAAAAAAATCTTTAAATAAACGAAAAAATTACATACAAATGTAATTAATTTTAATTTAGTTTATTGAAATATTTGAAGCATTAGTGATTCTATAAGCAAAAATGGTCTGCACATATGTACTATGTATGCTAATTATTTTCAAACATGTTTCAATTATTTAATTATGTTAAAAGTTTATTTTCGTTAGGTGGCAACCTTTTTTTGGAATCACTCTTAGCTGACGAGTTTGAAGCCCCATCTCGTGAAGAAGATGCATAGGCATGTATAGTATATTAAATTTCTTTGAAATCTTTTACTATTTCCTGCCTCAGACCAAAAAAAAATCAAATCAGCTGCTTTCAACATGCATTGTCTAAGCATACTTTATACTGAATGAATGTACAACACCATAAAAAAAATCAAGGATATTTTGTACATACTTTGAACTTACACTTTGTTATTTAATTCAATGGCCTCCAATACTGCGTACCTATAGCTTTTCTAAAAAAGGATTTTGATAAATTACGTTATTTGTTTGAATTAACAAAAATCTAAAAATTTCAATCAAAAATGGGAGAAAGAAACTATTAACCGATTCCAAAAAAAAAAATGATTGACGTCTAACGGCAACGATCTGCCCCTATTTGAATTTCGAAATGCAAAATTTTTCCGCTCCACCCTAATGTGCATGCATACATATGCACATATGCACATGTAATGGCAATGGTAATCGTAAAGGTAATGGCAATGGCAATGGCATTGGTAATGGATAGAATAGTATTGGTAATGGCAGAAAGTAGTAATGGAAATGGTAATTATTATGTTAATGGTAATGGTAGTAGTTATGGTAATGGTATTGGTAATGGGAATAGTTATGGTAGTGATAATGGAAATATGAATGAAAATGGTAAAGGTCATGGTAATTATAAAGGTGATGTGAATAGTATTGGTAATGGTAGTATGTAGTAATGGAATTGATAATAGCTATGTTAATGGTAATGGTAGTGGTATTGGTAATGGGAAAAATAATGGTAATGGAAAAGGTCATAGTAACGGAAAAAATAGTGATGGTAACGGTAATGGTAATACATAATAATATAAATATAAGTAATGGTAATTGCAATAGCAACAATAAAGTGACAATAATAATATCTAACATTAGTAATGGTATTCTTTTTTAAACATTACCACTACAATAGTCACTAACATTAGCGCTGGTATTTTGTTGTTACTATTTTCGTAAAAAAAATTTCACAAAATTTATACCGGTACCGTGGAAATGGTCGAATTCTCTCACACCCTCTTTGGATTGTGCTCAAAGAAGACCTGCTAGTTAGAAGAGCTCGTAAGTAAAGTCTGCCGGGTGATTGTCTATGCAGATGACGTGGCCCTTTTAGTGGTGAGTAAATTTCTGGAAACGTTTATAAACTGCTACAGAGTTATTTGAACCCATTGACTAAGAGGTTATACCGACTCCAACAAGGCTGAACACGCCCTATTTACTGGAAAGTGAATGCCATATTCCAACGCGATTCTGTCGTCAATCGTAGACGTTCACCTTATCGACAGTTTGAAGTACATAGACTTAACCTTCGGTCAGGGATGCTGCCTTGAATGCTTAACATTGAGGATCGGGTGAAAAAGGCATCAGTGGCTCTCTACTGCTGCAGGGCGGGCAATTGGTAAGAGTTGGTGCCTATCGTTGAAGGTAATTTCCTGGCTCAATGAAACGCCCATAATGTTTTATGGAGTTGTCATCTCTTGGAATGCACAAGAGAGGACTAGGCTATTCGGGAAGCTTGAGTAGATACAGCAGGCCACCCTCCTTGGAATCACTTTAAAATACTCCCTTCCCAAGGGAGGTAAACATCTATATACTTTAATGGCCAAGTTTCAGTGAGGAATTTTGGCAAGCTACGCATGCGCTCTTTTTAAATTTTGTATAATTATTTAGATTTATTTGGGCAACCACGAGTCGCTTTTACCCTGAAAAGAGGGAGTGGGTTTACCTTTAAGTACATTACCGACTGCTCTAAAAGTATGACCAGTACATTTGCAGCTGCAAACTCTTTCTAGCCGAGAGTGGAACTAATGCGGTTAAAGCATCTTCTTGAACGCACAAGGGAGCAACTCACATTTGTGGAGATTAAATTGAAAGTACACTGGCACATCGTAACTCAGCAACTTTGCTCTCCTCACTCAAGCAATTTGCTTAAATTTTTATCAACCGCATCCTCACTGTCGCAGTTGCTTAGAGAACGATGAGGTTGACTTGTCTCAACAGCTTTTGAAATAACCAGGGTAGTGTTTTTATCTGGGACTGAAATTTTTTTTAATATAGTCGTCGTGTTTTATAGCTCCAATGACTCATTAAATACAACAGAAATTCAGCTCAGGAGCACATGTAAACTCGTGGCCACGCAAACCTTACCACCCTTTTTTAAATTTGGTAGAATTTTTTAAATTAATAAAAAAAAACTATTTTTGTTTTTAAGTATATGTATATATGTATGTAATTCATACTGCACCAAAAACTATACAAATAAAAATTTCAAACAAAATTTAGAAAAGTTTAACAAATTTTCATCGAAATTTCAAACTTTTTAATGAAAATTTTTAGTTTAACAGCCCATTTAATAATTTTAGTATAATAACGCGCATTTTGAAGTGGCTCAAAGCTATCGGTGGTTTTTGAAAGTTTTTTTGCCGACGGTCTTGCGTAATTTTTTTCCAGGGCTTCGATGCGGAGCGGAGCAACGGAATTTAGCAGGAGCGGAGCTGGAGCAAAGAGCTAAAAAAATTCTTAGCTCCTTAAGGAAAAATTTTCTGTTAATAAATTTACATAAATTTTTGTTATTTTTTTTCCACTGAAACGTGTTAAATAAGTTTCCATTCTATTTATTTTATTTGCCAATACTGAGTAAGAAGGAATGAGCTTTTTCTGTGCAGTTATCTGTTTATGCTTCACAATGATAAAAGAAAAATACAAATTTCACAAGTTTTCGAAACTAAAATTATTTTGGAAGTTATAGCTATTAACTTTTTTCGAAATTGTTTACATTTTATTTGTTTTCTCGCGATTGGTAATATCGATTGTGCCAATTTTTTAAACAGTTAAGAATGATGATATTTTCTTCCCATTCTTATTTCTTATTTTGTCAGATTTTTTTTTGTTTGTAAAAGTTATTAAAATTTTTTAAAATATGACTTACTTCTCAATCGGGAGCGGAGCTCGGAGCGAAATAAAGTACCGGAGTGAAACTAGAGAGGAGCGATGAAAAAACCTTTGCTCCGAAGCCTTGGGGTTTTCCACGTAACTAATGCTTTTTATATTGGAAAAATTCGAAACATGTATGGAAAAAAAATCTCAAAAATCCACCAGAACTTTGAGCTATTTCAAAATTGCACATTATTATACTAAAATTTAATGGGCTAATAAACTCCATTTCAGAAATTTTCCTAAAAATTTTATAAATTTTGCTAAATTTTGCACAAAGTTGGAAACTTTAATGTACTATATAGTTTTTGTTGCGGTTTTTACTATACTACAAAATAATAAATTGTTTTTGTAAAAATTTACAAAATTCTACCAAAGTTAAAAAAACAGTACTGGTAAGGTTTGCTTGCACCATTCTTT